TGATGTTTGGAAATTGAATAAATGAGCTATTTTTAAGCATGAATAAATACACCTCTGTGCTTATTACTAAAAAAGTGAACAAAACCTGGCATAGTACGGTTGATATTTTACAAGACGCTATGCATGTCTATTATCACAACTATATCTCACAGCTGAGCATGAAAGGAAACTCGTCAAATGTTTTTATATCAAATTTTCAAAAAACAAAACAGTGTTCTTATAGTGTAAAGTTTTCTTCAAAGTCAAGAGATTCTTAGTAGCATAGGGTCATGTGACTCCAGAATCAATGTGTTCTCTGTTTTTTTCAAAAAATAAAATGGGGCCAAGAAGATTTTGATCAATTGATTTAAATTTTTCAGACCAAATTTTTCAGACTCTCAACTTTTGATTGCTATGCCTAAGAATGTTCCCAAAATTCTCCATCATGCCCCTCAGTTATTTAAATTCAAGGAAATCTGTTTCATTACATCGTAGCTTTCTAAAATGTCTTTTGATGTTTGATGAACCGTTACTGGCACAAGTGAACATGTGAAACAGAAATACGTCAGTATTTAGGAGTACAGTACCGCTATTATAGTTATAAATAATGAAGAGTTATTAAAGTATTTAAAAGTGTGCCATGGTGAAGCACTTTTATTGGCTGAACAACTAAAGCTTCCTTAGCTCCATGAAATGTGATGATATTACATTTAATAAACCCATAAAAGCACTGGTTGCATTTTAAAAAGTATTATCCTATCACGTAATTTGGAAAATTAAAACTAATTTATAATACTTTAAACAGGCCTATCTCAAATATAATTGGGAGAGTATAAAGGGGGCAGGAAATTCAGAATTCAGGTCAATAAAAAACTTGAAAAACAACCATATTCCCTTTATAAGAACATTAAAATTGCTAAATTAACTTTGCATATACCAACACCCAAAGGATTAATTTTGTTTTAGACCAAACCAAACTGAACAAAAGCAATTCCACTCCCTCTACCACTTATCGAGCACTTTTCTTCCTGGCCTCAAAAGTTCATTGCTATGAGAGATGACCTTGAAAACAGATGAGTTAAAATGATTTCCCAAATGTCAAAAGCCAGAAAAAGCAGCAGCATCAGTTGCATAGCCTCAAATTGTGAATTCTGTTTGTTTCTCTTCACACTGTGCCCGCATAAGGAAACAGGCAAAAACAAATCACTGTTCACTTGGTTACCAGCCTCAATCTCCCTAGTTCCTTCTGGACCCCATTACCAACTAGCTCTGCTTTGCAAAGCACATTTATTTACAAAATGCTATCAAGTTTGCCTTCATTCTCTTACTGAATGAGGTTCTTTTGTTCCTTTAATTGCTCCTCTAGTAGGATATAACCTCTGGGAGAACATTAGCCCCCTGTGTCACTGAATAAACTCATCTGACACTGGGACCCACCAACTTCTCTTTCTGTTGCATGGCCTGATTGAGCAGGAGAAATGGAAGTGAGAAAATGACCTGCTTAGCTCCTTTCACACAAAGCAAGGGAGGGAAACCTCTGGGTCGTTCACTGACAATAAAGATACTCACTTACATAACCTATCTTCTCTAAGAGCAAATGAATATGCAGTTGGTTCAATGGAAACACTGCACAACAAAGCCTGCAGCCAAGAAAGACAGTAACACAGAGAAAGGATGTGAGAGAGGCTGAGTCTGAGCAGCCTAGAAAGAGGATGAGTTTGGAGAAATCACTCCTCTGGACCTGAAACTCGTAGACCCTCACACACCTGTGCTCTATTTTTAGAAGACACATGTCTCTAATGAACAATGACTTAAGAGCACTCATCCAGAAAGAGTAACTATAAGCAGATGCCCGGTTTAACGAATTAACTTGAGAATTCATCCTCCTCCCCATTCCATGATTTCAGCTTAAGTAAGTGTTCTAACTACAGTGCGCTGAGTGGGTTGCAAGAGGGATGAACAGCACTGTCCTTAACCTTAGGTTTTAGTGTACCAGTGATTTTATTTTATATATGTGAACAAGTGATGGAGGTCTATGAATCATTCTTGGGTGATTTGTTAAAAGAATAAGAAAATCATTTTAAACATTTAAAAAGTTTCAGGAAAGCAACCCATACATACTTTGAGAATCTGCATTTACAAAATTGTAAACAGCAAATACACTGTGAATCTGAGACTTGAATTATTTCTTGAGATTTATGTCAACTGAGGCTGCGACCAAATTTTGAATAGAAAGCAAAAACAACTGCAGAAGTGACAGTGTTCTAGAATATCCCTTGACGATCAAACTTGACAAATTCCAGCCTTATTTCTTTAGATCCCAAGCTTGTAGTAGAAACCAGTGGCTTTTCAAGGACCCTTTCTGCTATACTAAAATGCTCTCACTACAGTACAACAATAACATTTTGTTGAAAGTTGGGAGTAGAACTATTAGGCCTCGTTAGCTAATTATCGTATTGGCATCCACTTAAGTTAGTCAGCTTTTCACTTCTGTCATTTTCTTCCTTTCAACTGCAGTGGTTCAAAACGTTTTGACTACTTCAAAGGGAATACATCATCGTTGCCTTTCCTCAGTCTAACTGCATACCACTTTCCAAAGCAATAGCTTCAATCATGCTTCATAAAATCCCCTGCAAGTATATTGTTGGAAACATAAATCAGCAAGCTGGGGTTTTAGTATTTCTAAGGCGAGCCCAGGGATCACTGACTGCTGGCTTTTCTATGCCCCCATTTACAAAAGAATAAACAAAATTATGAGTTACACTAGGTTCACTTTTTTTTTAAGACAGCTCCCAGTGGTGTATCTGATATTCTATGCTGCATCCTTAATTAGAGAACAAAACAGCAGCATAAAGGAATTAGACTCTGGGATGAGGATTTCTATTTCCAAACATCTCTGACTTCATTAAGGCACATGGACAGAAGTACTACATGTTTGTTCTCACAAAAGCCAGCCCTTCTAATATGCATCAATGGATCTAGAAGAGCCAAGCGTTTGGAAACTGTACTAGATAGAGAGATCTTCTTTACAATGATGCTCTCTTCCTACCCTGTTTCATTACAGTGAATATGGGCTCCCCTGTGGGCATGCTTCTGTTTCAGTGTCCCCCTTTCCAAACACCTCATAGTCGGATCATAAATTAGCTGAATCATAATTTCCAATATATGTGACATATACATACCCAAATTATGCCTGCCTAGGTGTACTGTTAAAACCTAGAATTTAAATATTCCTAGATGACCCTTCCGACTCTAAATTCCAACACACTTTGTGTCTGCAATGATAAATCCCCAGACTCCATAAATGAGACATTTTTCTTCTCCAAACAACTCATAATGTAATCACAAGTCCACATAAACTTGCTTATGATTTATAATTCTCCACACCACCTCCACTTATTTAATTGCAGTTGTATTTTACCTGCAGTTTTCAGTATTGTGAAAATACCTTTCCATTTTACAAAGGAACACTTAAATACAATTAGTAGATCTACAAAAATGAAAGCACCGCATCTGGGGGATATCCACCTGTGTACATCCATCTTTGCCATAAGAGTGTCTGAATTAACAGAATGGTGTAACGCTAGCTCCAGATGAACATATCTACAATCCCTCTAAGACTGTAATATTACATACTCTATGCTGTTATGGGAAAACGAGCATCTCACCAAGACACTTTCCAAACTATGGCAATCTCCAGCATTTACATTTATGTCTGAACATAAAATCTGCACCCAATTGTGTTTCATCAGCCACTAATACTATAGCTTTGGGGAGGAGAAGGGCAGAGAAAGGAAAGCTTCACATCCAAAATGTCAAGCCCTGCTGAAGAATGATAGGACTGTGGAAGAGCAGGAACAACCGTTTCTGGGTTTAAAATGGAGCTCTACCACCCCCTGCTGGACCACAGGAGCAACACAGAGAAGGCTGAAAACGCTTAGAATCGATACAGTGGAGATATTTTAACTTATCTTGTAATGTATTATTTTATTTAAAAATCCATGCTACACTAATAATACAACATTATCTCCAACTATTACACATCGTAGGATCACTGCCATCGCCTCCTTGAAAGACTTTCACCAATGCACGTTTTAGCGTTTTGTTTCCCCAATTAAATGTCCAAACTTGTGTGGACAGTTGAAAATGCTTCCATCTATTGTACAAATATTTCCTGTGAATGTGTGCTACCTATACAACCAAGATAAATTCATATCTATCTCTATCCAGATCATCAGAGGTAGCACCCATAAATTCTCCCTCAGGTTATTATACTAGGCTATTCTTTTTTCCCCCCAAGATCTAAAAGCTCCCACCAGCTGTCCATAACCCTAAAATCCCTTCCAAGAGTAATTACAACCTCATGTTATAAAATAGTTCTATTTCTCGATATTAACAAGGAGATGGGGGCTAAAATGAATGACTGCAACACATCCCCAGTTTTATCCATTTGCTTTCTTACACCCATCTCCACGGCCCTTCTTAGTTTCCAACATAAGCTATCATCATTCACTTCATAGTCAGGAATTGGTCTTGGGAAAGGGGAAAAAAAGAGTCTCTAAGAATTGAATTTCTTGCACACAACAGGGATATTTTACAAACGAGTTTAATGCTTATAGTTTTTGCTGCTTCTGTAAAACATCATCATAACCTTTTCTTCCACAACCTCTGATATTCAAGTATCAATACACACCAACAGACCCATTCAATTTTTGAAAATCAAAATCAGAGAAAGCTAAAATCCCAGGAAAAAAAAAAAAAAAAGCAGTTTGCCTCAATCTCCTGCTCACTGATGCCCATCTGCAAACCTGCATTTTCTCTTTTTCCCTCATTTAAGGGTCTCCACAAGACAGATACAATTTTAGGGGCAGCCACAAGAAAGAGCTAAAATAATAAGGATAACAACAGTTACTGCAACTTTAGTTCTTTTTAAACATTTTTTCCTCCTGTGCCCTCTTTGCCTCTCTGGGTTGGGTGGAAGGGGGAGGGAAAGTAAATGCAATAAAGCACCACACTCCTACCTTGCCCGCTACAGACAAGCAACCCGAGCAGGTAGAAGGAGAGGAGGAGGCTCATGTTCAGGACGTGACACTGGTGGACAATTCCAAAGTTATTAAGTCCAGCCCCGGAGAGAGAACCTTCCGCTGCCCGGCCGCCCGTCGAGCCCGCGCCGCTCCGGGTGCCGGCGCCGCAGCCGCGCGCTCCTCCTCGCGAAGTGACTGGCGGCTCCGCTCGGCGCCGCACTATATCCCGGCGGCGGCGGCGGCGGCAGAGCAGAGCTGAGCAGAGCAGAGCAGAGCAGAGCAGAGCAGAGCAGAGGCAGCGGCCGCCGCGGCGGCAGCACAACCGGGCGGGAGGGAGCGGGGGCGGGGACGAGCGAGGGAGGCGCGGCCGAGGCGGATCCCTCCGCGCCGCACGACGGCTTCTCCCGTCAGGCGCGCGGCTCCGGGATTCGTCCGCAGCCTGGCTCCGAGCTGAGGGTTCGGTCCCCGGTGCCTCCGACCAGAGGTGCGGCCGCGAGCGCCTGGCAGGGGGACGCCCGCACTCGCGGATGGATGCACGCCCGGACGCGGATGCCGCAGACAGTCAGACGGCCGCCTGGTCCTGCGCCTCAAGCGCACCGGGCTCAGCGGCTGAGGGGGAGATGGGGACACGCGGCGCAACCCCGGCTCTCAGTCCTCTGGGAGCTCGCGTAGCTTGGCGATGGGAGGGAGTGGGGGTCTCTGTGGCTCCCCTGGCCGCTCTCCTCCGCGCGCAGACCCGGAGCAGATCGGCAGCTCCTGCGGCGGCCCCTCCCGGCTTTGCTGCTCTGCGCTGCGCTGCGCTGCGCTACGCAGCGGCCGAGGGGAAGCGCGAGTTCCCTGTGTCCACACCGCCTGCCTCCTCGGACGCTGGGGTAGGCGGGGGCTATGCACTGTTTCTCTCACGTCTCGACCCGCTGCTGCTGAGAGCAGGTACCTAGGAGAGACCGACTGAGGCGGGGCGAGCTGTGGGGGGCGGCGTTCCCCTCGCCATCAGTCCTAAAGGTTCGCGTCCTTGGGCTCGGTATCCCCCCCCCCGCCTCTCTGAGGGCTCTACTCTCTATCCCTGGGGCTCGGCATGGCCCGGGTCCCCGGGAGGGGCGCCACGATGCAGGCTGCCCCAGTGTGGAAAGATGAATCGTGCGGGAATCCTTGTTTACGCTGAAGTGATGGAGCGGGGCAAGCACCCAGAACTAAGTCCTCACCTAAAGGTTGCAGCGTGTCATTATTTCTTCTGGAGGGGTAGGAAGCCATCTGTCACTGATGTCAAACCTGGGCCAGACAAACCTGGAAAGAGGCAAAATCACTGGCCCCGGGCTGAGAGTGGGTCCTCCAGTCTGCACTTTTATTCTGGCTCCTTAGAGTAATCAACTGTCTCACCTCAGGCTCAGGGAGTTCCTAGGAGTTTTTCCTTATCAATAGGGTCTGAAAAATAGGATGGGATAGAGACATGGAAGAGCTCAGAATCTTAACAACCCTCTCTCCCACCCCCACGCCCACCCCATTTACTGCCTTCAGAGCATCTTTCTTGACCTTTTGGGGTGAGGTTTTTGGGAAAAGACGAGGGGAAAGGGCAGCTCTCAGCCTGTACCATAGCTAACTCCTCCAATCTATGGACCCCTCTGTACTTACAGCTTGAGAACGTGTTCTTCCTCCCTGATTTTATAAGAGGAAAATATATTTGAAAAGTTCTTTTGCCAAGACACTCTTAGTGCACCTGTTACTGGTTCTAGGTTGCAACAACTGTAAGTAAACTTACTTCAGTAAACTCAGGGTCAGCTTTTTGGCAGGAAAGAGTGGAAACAGCACATCTATAGGTGTGAAAGAAAAATGACTTGTATATTTTTACTATTTCTTGACTTCTCTAGGGGGATCAAGGGACCACACACACACACACACACACACACACACACACACACACACAGAGTCAGAAGGATACTGCTTGTGCCAGATAACTTCTTCATTACAAAGTCTGCAGTTTTTCAACTTGACACTGAAGGTCAAGTTCTCTCTCTCTCTCTCTCTCTCTCACACACACACACACACACACACACACACACACACGCACACACCACCTAGTAATCAGAGAAATGCAGTTCTGACTATTGGATTTTCCTATTATTAGAAGTTGAAGTTGAACTACTTTTATCTAAAGCAAAGAATCGAACCTTGCCAGAGGAGAATTTAGTAGCTTGTAGATAATTTAGACAGGAAATCTTAGAGTAAGGTGTGAATAGAAAAAAGAAAAGCAGCGATCCATCAGACACTGGAGAAGTTTCTGATGAAATGTTTTTATCCTAAGACTGTGTGAAAGACCCATTTTGAGTTTGTGATTGTGCGTGCGTGTGTGTGTGTGTGTGTGTGTGTTTGTCATAGTCCTTTTCTAGTTGATAGGAAACAGTGTCAGGCTCCTGCAATTTAAAGAAGAGAAAATTTATTTAGGCTCACGGGTTTTAGAGTTTTTGGTCCATAGTTGGGGCACTCCAGGGCAGAAACTGGACCTGTTGGGGAGGACAGTTGGTCACCTAATGGCCAGAGAACCAGAGAGAGAAAGGGGGCACCAGAATGGAGATAGACACCCCCACCCCAGGACCCAGTAGGCAAGAGAGATCACCTGTGTACACTGAAAAGGCGAATGGGCAATGTTTTGTTACTCCAGAATATATGAAGGTGGTATACTTATTTTATCCTGGCCCAGAGTTGATCATAGTCTTGCTGAAGAGACGATCAGGAATGAACACAAAATTGGACCGTATGACTGAGGTTGTGAAATTGTTTTAAGAAAAGTAAAAATAAACTGCTATTGTGCCAAAAGAGGGTGAGATTATTTCAGAATAGGGGAGTAAGAAAGGCTTCAGGAAACCTCAGAAAACGGGAGTAGTTAGAGATGTGGGCAGGACAGAGGAGTTTAAGCAAAGCATGAGGTATGTGAAAGCACACAGTATGTGTTAAGAACATATAGCAGTCTAATTTGAAGAGTCAGTGTGTACAAGCACAAAGGTAGGATGCAGTTGGGAAAGGGGTTAGACTGTTAATACTGAGAAACATTATATGTATTGTGTAAGTTCAGACATGCATAGTCAAGTGAATGTCTAGGATTGGATGTAGCTCATTTTTTTTCATTAAGTTTCTCAGTAGTAAGAATACTTGCCCAGCATGCACAAGTTACTAGATTAGATCTTCAGCATAACCACAAATTTAAAAGGGGGTGGTAATCACTATTCTCAGGGCTGGAGGCAAGGCGTGGCCCACTGGAATATTATTAACCAAAGCTTTTTTGTGTTTTCTGTGTCATTACCCAAATTTATTTTCCTGAGGGGTCTCGAGATCAGAGTGTCACATGCACACAATATTCTCTTTTCTTCAACTGCTTTTCAGGCAAAGATAGAAGTGCCTCTCTAGGGCTCTCATCAGAAACACGTTCATTTTCCATTGCTGTGACAAAGTAATTTGCCTTCATTTGCCTAGGTCAGTTTCTCTTTCTAACAGATTGACGGTGTAAAGACAATGCGTAAAGAAATTGCTTCTGTTCACTGTCCTCCCTCCAAAAGCATGGTTCCCATTATACAGACAATGAGTGCAATCATGAAATAAACACATCTATGAACAGGACTAAGTCATATACACTGTGTATGATATAAAAAGTATAGAAATGCATCCTCCCTCCTTTATGTAATTTGTAATTTACACTTAAGACAATTTATCAGCTTCTTCGCATACCTGCAGAAACGTTTCAGAGGCTTCTTTGGTGCTTTAGTTATTTCATTTATAAAAATAACAGTGAGTTGAACAGAACTCAGGAATCTGAAAAGCTGAGTAGTAAGAAATACCAACAGGACTGGATGCATGGTTAAATGAAAGCAGATAAATTTGATTTAGAAGAATCAATAAAATGAACATTAAGGAGTAGCAGAGAGATAGAAAATGATAAGGTGCATTATATGTGGAAATTATCTCAGAGAGATTCTGCCTCTTACATCTGCAAGCTGTTCTTGCAAAAAGCGTGCAGGCCTACTATGTACACATGGGGCCTAGGCATGAATGGTGCTGTGGGCAGTGTTTAAACACTGTTTTTATTTCCCTATTCCTGGTGTTATTTTTGTTTACTCTGTATATTGACAGAATTCATGTGCCTTAAGATCGCACTATTAGGAAATAGGACATTCCATGTGTTCATTTATATTTTTAAAATGTCACAAACCATTATATCTATTCATTTACTTGTCTAGAAAATTGTCTGTTTGGGCTCTTTTTTTGTTACCACAAAGGAAGAAAAATATTCACTATATATAGACAGATAGCCTGAAACTTCTATAAATAGATTATCCTACTACTGCCTTCCCTTCTCCATTAATGCCACTTTTTCTAATCATCATGTCTCTGAAAATAATTTCTACTTTCTTGGTATGACAACATGTTAGATATTGTACTAAGCTATTTCTGAGTGTATAACAGTGGATCTTTTCGTGGTAGAATTTAGATTTTAACACCTTCCTTGGGAAATCCCTTACTTTCTTAAATGTTCTGTTTAAAATTAAGAAATAGAAGAGCCAGATTTATGATACTGAGGCACCCTAATTGTCACAGATTCTTGCTCTTTAATTTCTTTCAAGATACATGGGGTCATTTTCCTTCATGGCTACTTCATGTTCCCTCTGGGCAAATAACTGCTCATTTCGTTCTGAAATTATGCAATGACTGCCTATAATTTGCCACTTCCTAGAATAATATTTTCTTAACTCTAAGGGATATTATATTCTTTTCATTAGACAACGCTGGAAAATATAATAATGGAAAAAGCATGAAATACAACAAACCTGTTACATACTGACAAAAATGTGAATGACAGTTTCAAGAATTTATTGAGGACAAAGTAATAAAAGAAAAAGGAATTTATCAGTGGCTCACAATGAATATATTTTATACAACAAGGATCATGATGTGAGATGCAGGTTGTCCAAATATTGCTCACAGCACTCTGAAATCATATTTTTGTCCATGGATAGTATTGACCGATGCAATGTCTGCACAGATCCTGTCATGAAGAGGCCAGTTATTACCTGCTAGATAACAAATCCTTTGTCTCTGGCAATGGATACCACTAAGTAGAGCTATGATAGCACATAGGTTAATCAAATGCATTTTGAAGCACAATAAAATTGACAATTAAATTTAAAGATGCCTTATTGTACACAGTTTTAGGTTTCTTCTCCTAGTGGTGTTTTGTTTCTGTTGTTTTCAAGTCAGACAAGCAATTTTATTAATTACCATAGTA